TCAATCACACCCACGCTGGGGCTTTCTCTGATTTCTCCGCCGCTCCCTGCTCTTCTCGCTCAGCACTTCCCCAAGATGGGCTGTGATGCGGTGACCGTAGGTGACCCTACCTCTTGTCAATTCCGGTGAACTTGTGAGAGGGGCTTGAGTCTTGTTGATCTGCGTTTGCTGCACAAATGCCAGAGCCAGGCATAGAGTTAGTACTCAAAAAATGTTTAATAAGTGTCGTATTAGATTTTATTCCCCCTGCAGAGCTCACCGCAGGACAATTTATGTTTTCCAGTTTTCGAGATTTGTTCTGTTTTTGCTTTGGCAAACGATGCTGTAATGAACCTCTTTCTGCCTCTAGCCTTTTTCTCCGTTTGGATTACGCACCAGTCTGTGTTTTTCGAAGCAAGTTTACTGAACCAAAGGATGTGGATTTTTTTTTCCTTCACGATTTGCCTTACAAAATTGTGCACACTGGTGGTTTTTCTGAAGTCAGGAGGCTCCTAAGAATTGGAATGGTAATCAGAAAACCTCGACCTTTCGTCTCGGTTTTGTCTCAAGTCAGGTCCTCTGACGAGAATAAATTCTTCTGCTCCCGTGCCTCAGTTTCCCCCAAATGAGTGGCGCAAATTTACGCATCTCCTTCCTGGCGGGGGCAAAGCTCCGCCTTCTCACGGCTCTGAGTCCCGCCTGTTCGCCATTTAGATTGACAGGCAATCTAACCAATCAGCGTTTCGAAGTGGAGCACGAGGGCTGCCCTTCCGAACACACATGCGCGCTGTCCACGCTCGGGAGATGGATGGCCGCGGCGTTTGGGGCCGGCTTTGGGGTGGCTGGCGGCGGGGGCTGAGGGTCTGCGCAGCCCCCAAGGACGCAGGCTTTGTCACCAGGGCCCGGTGATTAAACACCTTCTCCTTCCTGTAGGAGGGAAGCTAGGGCAGGGGGTGTGCGGGATCTGGATTGGGTAGAGGTTCTTAGCCCAGCTCTGCTGTGTGACCCTAAACTAGTCCCTTGGCCTCTCTGAGTCTCAGTTCCCTCCGCTGTAAAGTGGGGCCAGTTGTAACTGAGTTTTGGAGAAGCTCAGCCCGGACATTCGGAGGCATTTGTAAGAGGCGGCAGGTTTGTGAAAGGTGTGCGGAGAAAGGAATAGACAGCGCCACGGGAAACGAATGATTCCTTTGTTGCTCTGCCCACTTTTTGTAGGCATCAGCTGCAACCTAGAGGCTCCAGCAAACGGCTGGGGCCCCTCGGGGACCAGCCCTTCCTGCGGCTGCTGCAGCCAAAGAACCTCAGTCGGGAGGAGTTGGTTGAGGTGCTGAGGGCAGCCGTGGTGGACCAGAAAGGTGAGGGTTGCTAGAGACAGCCACAGAGGCCGGGGAGGGTAGTCTGCCGCCGGAACGTTGGCTGGGCTCTCCATTAAAGCCCTCGGTATCAAATCCTGGTTCTGCCTGCCGCTAGCAAGCAGCGTGACCTGGGATGAGCCACACAGGACGTGTCCCAGCATCACGGCGATAGGGTTGTGGTGGGGGGAGGGTGCAAATGACTAGAGAGCGTGCGCATAGCAGGTGCTCAGTAATGGGAATTGCTATAGCAGTAAATTATTGTTTACTGACGGACAAAGCATAGGCTTTGCAGTCAGACATATCTAGGCTCTGTAATTTAGCTTGCTGTAGGCTTGTAGGAAAATAATTTCTCTGAACCTTAGTCTCTATTCAGTGATGTATTCATTTTCTCAACTATTTATTCAACATACGCTATGTCCTAGGCACTGTTCTAGGCAATCTTCAATGCTAAAAAAGGTAAATATGGTTCCTGTCCTCAGGGAGCCAACATTCTAGTGGGAGAAATGGGTTAATCAGAAAATAAATGAACAAGTGACTAGTGATCAGTGCTATGAATAAACTAAAACAGAGAGTTATGATAGTACGAACTGTAGAAAGCAGCAGATTGGAGATTCAGGTCTCTATGGCATGACATTCGCACCAGGATGATGTGAAGGAGACAGGCTCTTGAAAATTTATTGGTTTTGTTTTGTTTTGTTTGACACAAGGTCTCATTCTGTTGCTTAGGTTAGGGTGCACTGGCATCCTCATAGCTCACAGCAACCTCAAACTCCTGGGCTCAAGTCATCCTCCTCCCTCAGCTCCCGAGTAGCTGGGACTACAGGCGTGACACCACGCCCGGCTAATTTTTTTGTTTTTTGTAGAGAGGGGTCTTGCTATGTTACTCGGGCCAGTCTCGAAGTCCTGGCCTCAAGCGATCCTCCTACCTTGACCTCCCAAAGAGCTGGGATTATAGGCATGAGCCACCACACCCAGCTCGTGAAAATTTGGGACAGAGAAAGCAGCAAGTGCAAAGGCCCTGAGGTGGCAGTGAGTTTGGCATATGTGAGGAACAGAAAGAATTTCAGTTTGGGGGGAGCTGGTAACTCAAGCCTGAGAGTTGTCATGGGCCATGGGCTAAGATGAATGAGAAAGTGCTTTGTAAACTCTCAGTGCTGCATAAAGGTTTACTGATGCTTGTGCTGCTGCTGATGTTCATGTAATGTATGTTTCAGGACCTCTAGTGACGCTGAATAAGCCACAGGGTCTGCCAGTGACAGGTATGGGCAGGGCATGTGGAAAGGGAATGCAGTGAAAGGGGGTTTGATGTCG